AAAGCTTAACAAAAAGCCAGGATCAAATTTTTAACATTTCCCGGCTTCTATCTGAAGGAGACATAAGTTTTTCCTACTGTTGTAATATTATTATCATCTACCATTAGTTATTGAAGAAGTCATGCAATAGTATCATTCATAGTAACGCTACTTCGGCTGCCATGACACTGGCTAATGTATCCGACGCCTCAGCAGCAACACTGCACAGGAATCCTACAAACTGAAGCAAAATATGTAAACAAACCTTGAAAATATTTCCTCTTGCCACGATTTCTAAGGAAAAACAAATTATATTTTCCTTTCTAATATCATCCCGTTTTGTGCAGTATTTTTATTTTTTTCAATTTTTTTACTTCTGCCATTTATTCATTTGCGCTTTTTAGTATTTTTATATTTATAGGGACTCAGGTTGCAAGCCCGGAGCTCAAACATGGAGGCCGTGTTGGTAATATTTCCCGGCACTGCTCTTCTCGGGATTAATTTTCCTTTTTCGTGCGTATTCATGTGCAAATAAGTGTGCTTACTTAGCTAGAAATTTTGTGGCGCACGTTCTTCTTGCAGGCATTTGCGCTAAATAACCCAAATGGTAGAGAAATCGATTTCTGACTACATTATAAGTGTTAGTTATGACTTCTCAGTCAAACCCAGGAATTTTTAAAGTTGGCTACTGAAAAGTTAACGGCTTCTTGCTTTTCTTTACTACATTTTGTAGGAATTCCTGTAGCTTCCTTTCTTTGTCTGCTATCAACACTGTGTCATCAGCATGTCTAATGTTGGTAAGATTTTTGCCGCCAATAATGAATCCTTTAAAATTTTATAATTTAATATTAGAAATTAATACATCTAATGTAATTGGCAATATATGGTATATTTTGATTATTAATTGCTGCTAAATAAACAAAATGTACCATATATTGCCAATTACATTAGATGTATTAATTAATAATGTTAAATTTCGGTATTAAAAGACCTTAGTGGTCTTTTAATACCGAAATTTAATTTTCTTGGGAGCATTAGTAACTTAATTTTAAAAAAAATAAAATATCGCTGAAAATTTTCTTTTTTTAGAAAAATGTAGGTTTATTTTTTTCATAAAAATGTACTGCTGGTAATTTTTTTTTATTCCTAAATGTATTTCTTGCAACTTTTTTTTCCAAAATGTATTGCTGGTAATTTTTTATTCCAAAATGTATTTCTAGCAACTTTTTTTTTCCAAAATGTATTGCTGGTATTTTTTTTTATTATTCCAAAATGTATTTCTAGCAAGTTTTTTTTCCAAAATGTATTGCTGGTAATTTTTTTTATTCCAAAATGTATTTCTAGCAACTTTTCTTCCAAAATGTATTGCTGGTAATTATTTTTTTTAAATGTATTGCTGGTATTATTTTTTAAAATGTATTCCTGGTATTTTTTTTTACTACGAAAATGTATTCCTTGTGTTTTTACTATAAGTTTATATTTTCATAGTGTCTTGACACCAGTTTGCGAGTTAACTATTTGCCCATAGTTGGGACCCTAACAGGTTCTACCACCTCTAGACAGGGTGAATCTTGGAACAACAGCAATTAAGAGGTGGTTACACGCTCCCCAAAATCTACCTATCAGAGGCCTGTCTGCTGGATGTTGTTTATCGTCATACCCAGGACAAGCATGACATATATTAGTTAATGTAAGTATATATTGACAAAGTGCAAAAAATCTGTGCAACGCGTTTCGTCCTCTAGAAGCACTTCATCAGACTAAAGGATGGAGAGATATAAAATATTTATTTAAGATATATATTGTTGGTTATTCTACTATAAATATGCATCGTTGTAATTTTTATTATATCAAATATATTGCTGGTATTTTTACCATAAAAAATGTATTTTTCTATTTTCAAAGTGTTTGCGACTTCCTTATTTGCCAATTTCTCGGGCTCTAACAGGTGCTACCAACCCAAGTCAGGTTGAACCTGGGACCAAGAGCAATTAACAGATGATTGCACGCTCCTCAAAACCTCCAATCTTCCAATCAGAGGCCTTGTTACCGGGTGTACTTTATCGTCATACCCGGGACTACATATTGCAGCTAAGTGTCACATTCGTGTTCTCGGGTGTATCTTGCATATCGATGTTTGTACGATTTCAGGATGGTTTAAATGTGACTCATAAATAATTCTGTAGGACGCGGTACTACCTGCCTGTCAAAACTATATCTTTCCGACCAGAGCTCAATACGTACGCACTTAAACCATCATAGAATCGTACCAACGTTGATATGCAAAATGCCCGTCAAGAAGACGAATGTAATACTGCCAACTGCTTTCATTAATCCCAGAAAAGAAGCCACTTAAAATAAAACGTGATAAGTACATAAAGAAAACTACATGTTCAACGAAATATACAGGGTGCTCAAAAGTCTGGGTACATCGGAAAGAATGAATATTTTCAAGAAATTAAATTTTCAACATTTTATTGAATTGGAATATTAACAAATAACAACGTCAATATGATTTGTATCATTTGTGATGCAAAGGTTGATGCGCTTTGCTAGTCTCACGTGAACCAGATACGATAACTTCTCATCGCCGTCAATTTTAGCACATTCACTCTTTATGCATTCAATCAAGTGTGTTGTATCTGTTATTTTCATTAAGTACACCTCTTTCAGCATACTCCAGAAAAAGAAGTCAGTTCTTTCTTCTTTCGACAATCAGTGGGGGTAACAAAATATAGTTAATAAGATTTCCTCTGTATCCAAACTTCCGGGACACCCCGTATACATATATTTTTAAACATTGTGTATCACGTCTATTCAAAGAAGAAAAAGATTTCATACGCGCCGTACATTTAGCTGCGTGTTAAATAGAATCTAGGAACTGAAAATATTTTTAAGACATAAGGTATGACATTTTTTGATGTTTTTTTTTCTCCATGATGTGTATTGTCCCTTCAGGACGTGGGTAATCATAACTCTTCATAAGTTCCTATCTTTTGTAGCTCTTGTAAGGTCGATCTTTTCCGTTACGCCATCCATTTAGACAATCTCTAGGTAGCTAGGTAACCTGCTGTCTACTCTTAGCACTTTTGCCTTCGATATGTCCCGTGAGTGTGAAATTCTTCAAGCCCTGCTTTCTTATTATGTGTCCAAGATATTTCAGCTGACTCTGATTCTGAATAATGTCTTCTCGGTGTTTCCACTTAAGACTTCTTCGTTGCTCCATGGAATTTTCCGTATCCTTCTATAGAACTACATTTTCGCTACCTCAAATGTTCTCTTCATCTGTGAGGAGACTGTCCAGCATTCACAGTCATATACGTAAAAAGATTGATATTACACAGCAGTTAACTTCTCTTTTCTTTGTGTCTCAAGAAACTTTTTCTTCTCATTTTTAGTACTTTATAAAATAAAAAAAGGGAAACTTCTATTTTCGGTTACATTATCAAGATCTGTTTTTCTCTATTAGTTTGTATACACTATTTACATTATTCGGACTATTGTCCTCATCTTTGTCGCCATATTTATTATTTCGGCCGTTGTACGCTCCAGCTTTCTTCAAGTGGTTGGAATGTCAAACTGAACCCTTTATTTCGCTCACTGGGGTAGACTGTTCTAGTTCCACGTGCCATGTTTAATGGATATCAGTTATCTCCTGTTAATTCTCTTAAAACGAGACCCCAAATCTAGATAAATAATCGTGATTTTATCTGATATTCGTAATATAAGACGACCGAAAATGTAGGCTTGCTTACGCCGCCAGTAGCAGTTAGTCCTATCAATGATTCCTATGAGTAGAAAATAAAGCTGATGTTATTACAAATGTTTTTTCTTTACCTTTATTGTTATAAAATCAAAAGGAATAAATATTTTTGTAATGAAAATAACATTAAAAATTTCATCCTTACGAGTCGTACGAATGAAAACAATGTTTTTTTTATTGTCATGAGAAATAAAAAAATTATGTCTTCTTAAACGTTTATTGCTTAACACCAAAAAAATACCATATAATTGTGAAATAAAGTTTGTATGTTATACTAAATGTTGTTGCAATTTAACAGCACAATAAATTTCAATTAGAAATATAGATTGTATGTTATCCTAAATATTTTTATTTAACACTACTATGAGAAATACTGATTGATGTGAATGCACCCAGAGCTCTACAAATCAAGATTGAAAGATTTGTTTACGTTACTTGTTACTTGTGCGTGTTGCTCAGTGAAACTTTCGTAAATTGTTGAATAATCGTCTCTTTTATATTGCATTTTAATGGGAAATCAATCTCTTGAATATTGTATTTTAATGGGAAATCAATCTCTTGAATATTGCATTTAAATCGGAAATCAATCTCTTAAATATTGCATTTTAATGGGAAATCAATCTCTTGAATATTGTATTTTAATGGGAAATCAATCTCTTGAATATTGCATTTAAATAGGAAGTCAATCTCTTAAATATTGCATTTTAATGGGAAATCAATCTCTTAAATATTGCATTTTAATGGGAAATCAATCTCTTGAATATTGCATTTTAATGGGAAATCAAGAAGTAAAAGTAGTTTCATTACATTTATCACAGTGATACAGCATTATAATGTGAATAATTTAGCCTTTTGTAACTTTTGTATTAGAGGAACCCCTATTTTGTGGTGGGGTACTTTTTAAGATTTAAAGGCCGACTTATACGCGTTAGTCTCTCTTTTTTTTTTTTTTTTAGATTGCTGATTTTAAATCCAGCTGACATGAAGGACGTCAGTACGAAAAGAAATTCCGGTCATTCTGATAAGGTTATTTGTTACCTGTTTCTCAAATCCGAAAGCACTTTTCTTACAGATAACTTTGACTCGAATTCTGACCTGAAGACGCCTACTATAAGGATGCAAATAGTCAGAATAGTTTTTTTTCTAGTTTGCCTCATTATCACTACTTTTGCTCGAATATTATTCTATATCCTACTAAAATCTATACTTACTATATAAGCATTTAGATAGCTAGGTAGTTAGATAGATATGAGCAATTCTAATAGATAGATAGATAGATAGATAGATAGATAGATAGATAGATAGATAGATAGATATGAGCTGCCCCAATAGATAAATATATAGATATGAGCAGAATGACATAGATATGTATAGAACGAGATAGATATAAACAGAATGCGATAGATAGGTAGATGGACATGCACGGAAAATATAGATAGATAGATATGAAGAAACCGATGGAGAGAAAGGAATAGGCTGAGATAGATAGATAGATAGATAGATAGATAGATAGATAGATAGATAGATAGATAGATATGAGCTGGCCTAATAGATAAATAGATAGATATGAGCAGAATGACATAGATATGTATAGAACGAGATAGATATAAACAGAATGTGATAGATAGGTAGATGCATAGAAAATATAGATAGATAAATATGAGCTACCTAATAAATAAATATATAGATATGAGCAGAATGACATAGATATGTATAGAACGAGATAGATATGAACAGAATGCGATAGATAGGTAGATAGACATGCACAGAAAGAGATAGATATATAGATACGAACAGCCCTAACAGATAGATCGATAGATATGAGCTGTCATGATAGATAAATAGATATATATGAGTAGAATGTTTCTTGGTTAGGCGTAGAATCATTCAGTACTACTTCCTATGAATGTGAATTCTCAAAGTTAGCCTCGTGCTAATGATCTATTTTGGTAATCGAAATTTAACAATTTCGATTTAGCACAGGTACATTAAAAATCTTGTCAGGCCAGAGATTCTTTTCTGCTGGTGGTGGATTCCTAATCTACCTAACTTTGAGAGGAGTTCTGTACTGTTAAGTAGCTTCCCTCTATGTTCTCTGAAAATGTCATACAAACTTACCATAAGCTCCACAGCAGACAACCATATAAACAGACTTTTAGATATTAGACTTACTAAGAAATGTTTTAATCAGGTATAACTTTATTGATACAGTTAGAGAGGAAGGTGAATTGTTATTTGCATTTGATGCTTCGTGGATTTCATCATTTTTGGATTATTTAATATCGAAATCTGTTTTTCTTATACTTGAGGCAGTATGTAAATATTGGTCCTGTTTATACATGAGACTATAGTTAGATATTGGAAGGGTATATACTTTAGTATATAGGCAAATGGTGGTCAAGTTTATACGTGAGACTATATGAAACTATTGGTTGCATTTAAACTTTCGTCTGTAGGCAAATGTTGGTCACGTTTATATTTTAGTTTACAGGTGAACATTGTTCAGGTATATAGTTGAGTCTATAGGTAAAAATTTGTGGTTTTTATACTTTTTTCTATAGGTAAACATTGATATGTTTTTTACTAAAGTATGTAGGATACATTAGTCGGATTTATATTTTAGTTTATAGGGAAAACTTTGTTGGATTTATACTGTAGTCTATAGGTTAATATTGGTCTCTTTTATACTTAAGTTTATAGGTCGGGTTTTTAATTTATTGGCATAGTTTTTACATTAGTATGTTTTAGACTTTAGTCTATAGGTAAATATAGGTAATTTAAAATATAGAACAAGATTTGGCGGTTTATACTTTAGTCTATAGGTAAGCATTGGTAGGGTAGGTAAATATTGGACTGTTTTATTCTTTAGTCTATAGGTAAATATAAGCTGTGTTTGTAATTTAGACTATAGAATAATATTGGTCGGGCTCATATCTTAGTCTATAGGCAAACATTTGATCTTTTTTTTTATTTGAGAATGAAATATGAAAGTGTAAAAATAGGTTTTAATACCAGAAATACTTTGTAAAAAAATTATTATCAGTAATACATTTTTGAAAAAAATATTACCAGCGATCCATTTAAAAAAAAAAATTACTAGCTATAAATTTTTGAAAAACAAATATTACCAGCGAAGGAAAATTATTACCAGAAATAGATTTTTGAAGGGAAAAATATTACCAGAAATGGATTTTTTGAAGGAAGGTATAATACCAGATATAGATTTTGGAAAAAAATATTACTAACAATTAAAATTTTGTCGGCATTAAATCACCCATTGAGATTGATATGACGAAAACCAAACCAAACCAAACCAAAACAAACCTATATTTTGCGAAACTAAAAACAGGTTCGTAGTGAGACAATTCTAAAAATCAACTTTTTTCATCGGCTTTTATCTGTTCAAAATGAAATAATCAAATTTATTATCCGTGATGTCGTTTCTAATAAACTTAGCTGATTTTATCATTTTTAATAGGCGATTCCCATCTGGAACCGATGACAATTCATTACAAACGGAAATAATTTTTTTTCATTTCGTTTAGCAGTCGAATTGACCGCTCAATAATTTATACCGATTTTTTCTCTGTTCTGAAATTTTCAGCAAATTTATTTTAGGTTTCTGATAATTGTCAAGATATCGTTATAAAAGTAAACTATATTTTAAACGATGAATATATGATCATTTTGTTTTGTATTGCTGACCAGGAGACCGTTTCCGGGAAGGGAATAATTCGCATAATTTATTGGGATTTACATAACACTTCTATTTATTTTTCACTGTTCTTGTTTATATCAAAGGATATACGTTTGTGTGTCAGTCTCTGATTGGTTGAAGTTCCACCTAACGTTTGTGTGTCAGTCTCTGATTGGTTGAAGTTCCACCTAACGTTTGTGTGTCAGTCCCTGATTGGTTGAAGTTCCACTGAAATTGCACCTAATATGCGCCACGATGCCTCCAGTTTGCTTTTTTTTGCCATTCGAATTCTACTTTTTTACCTCAGGGATTGGTCTCATGATTTTTGAGAATCTCTTTTGTCGTTTTGGTTGGTAACTCAGGTAGAGCGATTTCAAAGCCTTTTTTATTGTCTTTAAGGCCACAATCTCTGTAGTATAGCGCAATTACGTTTGAGATGATTAGAGTTAGCCAATATGTTTTGAATTCAGAGTTGTCCTTCTAGATTGGTTGCCAACTAAAGCGAGGTGGCAGAGGAAGAAGAGAAGATGGAATTTTTTCATATTTAGTATTTAAAGGTATCGGGCATTTTTGATTAACATTTATTTTCATGGTTAACTGTAAGGGATTGTAAATGTAGGACTGCCTTACGCTTAATTAAAATAATAACAATAATCATATTTATTAAGAATTTATTACAGGAAATATAAAGTTTTACGGAAACGTTGTTGACAATTATGTATTTACTTACATAACAAATAAATAAAAATAATATAAATTTTGATTCTATATTCGATTTTTTGTTAGGTATTTTTCATTTTCTCATTTGTTATTGGCAGCATTTAAGAATACTTTGACTGCAATGTTAAGTTTCCTAAGTTGAACAAACTGGAACTATTTTGTTTACGCTTTATCTCTTTTCCATTGTTCTTTTTAGATCGTTTTATTTCTGTGATTTTGATGGCCAATAGCAAAATTCTGAATTTTAGAATGATCTTATTTCATTTAAAAAATAAAACCTGTAAAAAGGAATATTTTAAAGTAATATACGACCAAAAATGAAATACTTTTGACAAAATAAAACAAACAAAAACCCCCCCAAAATTTAATGAATTTCAATATAATTATGTAACTAATATGCAATGATAATCAGCAGACAAATCTACTGTTTATGTTACCCCATCTTATTGCATGGTTACGAATTATAAACATAAATTGAGCTTGAAATATTGTGTAATCGGCTGTAATGTTTTTGCAAAAACTTGGATATGATATAATGAATAATTTTCAGTGAAAAAAACAATTTTCTATTTTTTTGTTGAATACGCCCCTCCTCTGCTGAACGCTTCTTATGTAAGGGCTGATAAAATTATTTTTCAATCTCTATAGAATGAAAAGAAGCGAATCATTCAGATTGTGCAGACCAAGTGAAATATTCCCTATTCGCTGAAGTAGCTGTTTGAAGCTTTGGTTTTTCATACAAACTGCATCTGTGTCTACGATTCTAGTTCTCCTGCAAATCAGCCCTCTGTCAGCCTTTATTAATCTCGATCTCACCTCATTTATATGTACCATTTATTTTATGTCTACCTTTTTTTACTCTAATGCAAATCGGACATATACCTTCCTACATGGGTAAAAGACCTATCTCACCGTTTTGTACTCTCGTGCAAACAGGATCTATGTCTACCTTTATGAATCTCGTTCAAACCTCACTTATATGTACCATTTACTTTATGTCTACCTTTTTGACTCAAGTGTAAATCGGACATATATCTTCTTCTCATGGGAAAAAGACCCATCTCACCCTTTTGTACTCTCGTGCAAACCGGACTTATGTCTACATTTTGGCTTGAACGTATACTGGACCTGTGTCTACCTTCTTCACGCGCCTGCAAACCACGACTCTGTCTATATTTTAGCAAAATCAATCATTTAAATATGCAGAAAATATTTTAACAGAGGAAGAAAAGTACGATACCGAAATATGAAGGGGCATTGATATAGCGAATGATGCCTTCTAAAAACTAAGCAAAGAATGAAGAAAGAGGAAAGTTTCGTTAGAAACGAAGAAAATAGTACTGGACTGCTATGGAATATCGTTACTCCTATATAGCAGTGAAATCAGGACAAGTCCATCACAGAATAAGAAAAAACTTGGGGCAACAGAAATGTGGTTCTAGAGAAGGATACCGAAGATATCCTGATCTGAAAATGTGAGCAATGATGAAGTTATAGAGTAAATGAGAACAAAAAGGACACTTAAATCTCTATCTATAAAAGGCAGGATGTGTGTGTGTATGTGTGCGCGTGTGTGTGTGTGTAACGAATGAACGCATTTGCACCAAAATTTACATGCACATGCTCCAAGTTAGCAGAAAGGCCAAGACCGACATTGCATTTCCCAACTCCCATCGATAGTGGAAATAATCGATTTTTTCATGCTTCTACGGCAGTTTTCATGTAGTTTGCAGCCATTTTCTACTGGCCAGAGTGAGAGCCTATAGCTGGCTTCCACGAATATGCGAATGTTAACTAGCATGCAAAAAAAATTGATAGCTGCATTCATCACAAGTGGGAAAAATTTAAATCTGCATGGCACTTTACTCCAATTGGCTCATTCGCTTGCTTAAACTCAATGTTGATTCTGATTCCGCAGAACTGGGTTGGGTGTGAAAAAGTATTTGTTGTTAACATTCTTTTTTTCATTCGGTTTTTCCAGTTACGAGTCCTTTTTTAAAAGCTGATCGTTTTGTGTTCATTTTGTTTAGTTCTTTTTTCGTAACAGATTTAATGTTTAGTATAGAGCTTAGAAAAAATTCGCAGTGTAAGATAGGCAAGAAGTAAGGCATGTAGCAACATCAGCACGGCAAAAGGGCATTCCTTTAAAGGCAAGGAAGGGCAAAAATATTTTAAGTCAAGTGATAGCGATTGTTGTATGAGTCGTACGATTTTTGAATCAAGCACGGGCAACGCCGGGCCATGCTGCTAGTGTAACATAAGAAAAAGACTGTTGAGATTTGTAGGGAAATGATGAGGAACGAAGACCCGGAAATTTTGATACACACAGGACATATTGAAGACAAAGAGAGCAGAAGAAAACAGCCTATAACCTACGCAACGATGTTTTGCAAATGGATAGCAGAACAGAGTTTAAGAGAAATAGCAACAAGAGAAAATTTCGTAAAGAGCAAAAAAGAACAGGAAATTGAGGAGAGCCATGATCACCAACCTCCAAAAGGAATAAAGCGTATAGAAGAAGTAAACCGAGCTTATGATTACTTTTTTCACTCGCATGCAAATCGGGTCTACGTCTCTCTTTTTGTCCATCGTGCAAACTAACTGTTTGGTTCGAGTGCAAAACAGACCTCTGTCTATATTCGTGAATTCTTATGCAAAGCGGACCCCTCTGTCCCTTTTTGTTACTCTTGTGCAAACCGGACCT